TCTTGCCTCACTTGCTCACTTCTTAACCTTGCTTGTACCTTCACCTATATATACTCTTGTTCTTTCTTGCTTGACTCTTGTATATCTCTATATATGATCTTGCATGTGAACTGGCCTTGTGGCCTTTGAACTTGTGCTCGGAATGTGTGGTGACTTTGTGATCCACCCTGAGCTTTGCTTTGCTTTGCTTGACTGGTCTTGTGACCCCTTGTTCTCCCCCACTTTGCCTATGGGGGTGTGTCGGAACATTATAGCTTACTTATTTGTGTAGGCTATAGTGGGGTATCCCATAGGGGGTACAACCCAATTAGGGTTTCCTATTTGTACTCACTTCGTTCATAGTCAATTCATTCTCGTTCTTTCTTTCACAACGTCGACTTCCACCTTAGTGCCCCTATATGCAGCTGCAGTGATGGTTCGCCGTGGATGGGAAGTTTCGTACCGTCCACCATCATTGCCGTGAACTTGGTCTCCTCCGAAGATTCTCCAATTTTCTCCAACGTCCCGCGGTCGCACACCGAGTGGGACACACCACTGTCCACCAGTGCCTGGAGGCTTCGCCCGTTGCAGATCACCTCAAGTAGCAGTGGTTATTGCTGCTCCGAGTAACCGTAGATGGTCTCGCTTATTGGATCGTAGGGTACGTCGAATAGATCATCCCTCGGTCCTGTGTTCGAAGTTGCTGACTCCATATCAGTTTTCAACTGAGTAGGGTTAGAAGGATTTATCCGAGGCCGATTCAGCTTCGTCTTGGCCTGGAACCTTCCCTTAAGCCTTTCCAGCTTTTTAGGCTTCACCTGTGGGCAATTGGGAGCCTTAACACTGTGCTGCGGGGAGAGAATAATAACTCCTTGGAACGCACGACCCTTTTTAACGCTCCGGAATGGTTTGCCCAACTTCTCAGGTACCTGAATAATGTCTAAAGGCTTTTCCTTGGCCTTGAAATCTCCCCTGATTTTTTTAAAGGCTTGAAAACCTCGAGAGGGAATATTCTTACTCTCGAGGGTGTTCGGCTGGAGTTTCTTGGTCGGTGCAGAGTCTTGTTTCGCGGAGCCTCCATTTGTCTCGGCGATTTCCCCTGTTGCCGGCCAGTCGTGGCGTTTAAAATTCGCGCCATCGTGTCCTCCTTTGTTCGCCATCGTGGATGTCGCACTGTTGTTGCCAGGAGTCGATGTCCTGCTGCGTCGCAAAATTCGCACTTCTCATATTTTGTCGGCCGCAGCTTCGCGTCGATCTTGTCGATATCCATCGGGTCGGTGGTCGTGGGTGGTGCCGATCGCTCGGTGCCGAATGATTTGTTCGGCACACGTCGTCGTGTTTCGGGTTGATCTCGCATCAATGCATCGAATCTCTCTGCTGCACACACCATGTCGCGGTAGTTGTTGTAGTTCGCGGCAATCACCTGTCGGCGGACTTCCATCTTTAGCCCCTCAGTATACGCTTGGATTTTTTCCCCTTCGGCTAGGTCGGTAATTCGGTTGAAGAGGCTCTCCAGCTGCTGCATGTACTGTGTTACAATGCCAAACTGTTTATGCCGATAAATCTGCTGCCGCGCCATGTAGCTGGAGTTGATGGGTTCGAAACGTTGAATCAAAGCTTCCCGAAACTGCGTCCATGACCCCTCGCCTCGGATCTCATTACCGTTGTAAATCCACTCGAGCGCTGGGCCTCACAACAGTGTCGTTGCGAGCCAGATCCGCATTGCATCGTATGTCGGGGTCGTACAGCCAACGACCTCGAAGTAAATTTCGAGGGTCGCAATGAATCGACGGACGTCGGTGTCTCTCGCATTCGGATTGAATGTCTCCGGTTGCCTCGGACGTGCCGCCTCAAGATTCAGTGTAGCGGCTGCCGCTGCTGCTAGGGCGAAGTGTCGGTGTCGCCGCCGCTGCTGCTGCAGCTATCGCTGCTGCTGTGGCGGCTGCCGACTGGTTCTCGAGAAGCTCTGTGAAATTGAACGAGAATGATTGAACTATGAAATAGTTGGGTACAAGTACTAACCCTAATTGGGTTGTACCCCTTATGGGCTACACCACTACAGCCTACACAAAAGCATAAGCTAGAATGTTCTGACACACCCCATAGGCAAAGTGGGGGAGAACAAGGGGTCACAAGACTAGTCAAGCAAAGCAAGCTCAGGGTGGATCACAAAGTCACCACACATTCCGAGCACAAGTTCAAGGCCAAAAGGCCAGTTCACATGCATGATTACATATATATATAAAAGGCTAGATAAGCAAGAGCAGGTGTATATATATATGTAACAGTACAAGCAAGGTCAAGAGGTGAGCAAGTGAGGCAAGGCAGGCACAAGACCCAGCTGAGTACAGAAGCGCTGATGATCACAAGGCGCAAGCGCCTTGGTGAAGATATCAGCAGTGTTGGCCTCAGAGGCCACGTACGCAAGACGCAGCTGACCACGCTGCTGTAGCTCACGTGTCAGAACATTATAGTTCATGCTATTGTGTAGGCTATAGTGGGGTATTCCATAGGGTCTACAACCCAACTAGGGTTTTATATTTGTACTCGTTTCATTCATAGTTCACATCATTCTCTCGTTCTCATTCTCACATGGTATCAGAGCAGGTCCCCTCCTAGGGACTGTTCCTAGGGCCCACCGAAGCGCGCCTTGAGTCGCGCTCTCCCCTTTTTTTTTTTTTTTTTTTTTTTCTAGCGGCCCGTCGTGCCGCCCTTACGGTCGCGTCGAGCCGCCCTAGCGGCCCCGCCGCCCTACCTAGCGGCCCCGCCGCCCTACCTAGCGGCCCCGCCGCCCTACTTCGCGGCCTCGCCGCCCCATTGCGCGGCCCCGCCGCCCTACCTAGCGGCCCCGCCGCCCTTATTCGCGCGGCCCTGCCCCCCCATCGCGGCCCCGCCGCCCCATCGCGCGGCCCCGCCGCCCTACCTAGCGGCCCCGCCGCCCTTCCTCGCGGCCCCGCCGCCCCATCGCGCGGCCCCGCCACCCTACCTAGCGGCCCCGCCGCCCTTCCTCGCGGCCCCGCCGCCCCATCGCGCGGCCCCGCTGCCCTACCTAGCGGCCCCGCCGCCCTTCCTCGCGGCCCCGCCGCCCCATCACGCGGCCCCGCCACTCTACCTCGCGGCCCCGCCGCCCTACCTCGCGGCCCCGCCACTCCACCACGCGGCCCCGCCGCCCTATCTCGCGGCCCCGCCGACCTATCCAGCGGCCCCGCCGCCCTTCTGCAGCGGCCCCGCCGCTCCTCTGCAGCGGCCCCGCCGCCCTACCCAACGGCCCCGCCGTCCTTCTGCAGCGGCCCCGCCGCTTCTCTGCAGCGGCCCCGCCGCCCTATCTAGTGGCCCCGCCGCCCTCTCTGCAGCGGCCCCGCCGCTCCTCTGCAGCGGCCCCGCCGCCCTACTTCAGCGGCCCAGCCGAGCCGCCCAGTAGCAGAGCAGCCGAGCCGCCCAGCAGCAGAGCAGCCGAGCCGCCCCGCCGTCGAGCCGCGTTGCAGCCGAGCCGCCCGGCCGCCCACCAGCCGAGCCGCCGTGCAGCCGACCGCCCAGCCGCCGAGCCGCCCAGCTGCCGAGCCGCCCAGCTGCCGAGCCGCCCTGCAGCCGAGCCGCCCGAGCAGCCCTGTCCGGTGAGCACAGACCCTCTGTCACTACGTGCCCTTCCCCTACTGCTTGCACTGCTGGTCTCCTACTATCATGGCTACCCCTAGTGTCCTCGCTTTTGACGCTGAGGGTCGGGCCATTGACTTTGAGGTCTGGGTAGATGACCTACAGCTGTTCTTACAGTGCGATAGGGCGGACGGCCTCTCTCTCTTTGACCTCACCTCTGGCGCTTCTTCTGCCCCTGCTGCTGATGCTGACGCCACTGTTCGCTCCCAGTGGGCCACGCGCGATGCTGCTGCACGTCTTGCTGTGCGTCGCCACCTCCCTACCTCCGAGCGTGCGCACTTTAGTCAGTACAAGAGTGCTCAGACCTTGTACGACGCTGTAGTCGCGCGCTACTCCTCCGCTTCCACTGCTGCACTGAGCCGTCTCATGCTGCCGTACCTCTTCCCTGACCTTGCTGCCTTTCCCACCGTTGCTGACCACATTACGCACCTCCGCACTAGTGACACTCGCTACCGCGCTGCACTTCCTGCTGACTTCTGCACCGCGAACCCCCCCCCCCATGTACATCACTCTGTACTTCCTAGTCACTCGCCTCCCTGACTCCCTTCGAGTAGTCAGGGACCACTTTCTCTCAGTCTGTCCCACCACACTCACTGTCCATCTCCTCGAGAAGGCCCTCTTAGCAGCGGAGAAGAGTATAGTTGCTGTAGGAGCCTCTCGAGGGGTGTTCCCCCTCCCCCCTACTGCCCTCAGTTGCCTCTGCTGCTACTGCCGACCTCCTTGGTCTTGAGTCGGTCGGTGCGGCGTCTGCCCCTAGCGGGAGACGCCGCCCTGGCAAGGGCAAGGGGGGCAAGGGAGCTGGAGGAGCGGGCGGTGGAGGTGGAGGTGGAGGCGATGGGGGTGGTGGGGGTGGCGGTGGGAGTGGAGGTGCGGGTGGGGGGGTCGGTGGCGGCGGTGGAGGCAGAGGCGGCGGCGGCGGTGGCGGTGGGAGCGGAGGTGGCGGAGGAGGCGGCGGTGGAGGCGGCGGTGGAGGCGGCGGTGGAGGCGGCGGCAGTAGCGGAGGCGGCGGAGGCGGTGCGGGTGGCGGTGGAGCTGGTCGCGGGCCTTCGCAGAGGAGTGGCTCCGGTAGTGGCGCGCGCCAGCAGCAGCAGCGCGGTCGTGAGACCCTATCCCCTCAGCAGCTCCGTGAGTGGTACACTGCACGCCAGCGGGGTGGGGGTTTTGGTTCGTGCACCTACGTCCTGCGCACCGGCGACCGTGCGGGTGAGCAGTGTGGGGGTCCGCACCCCACCCAGCGCTGCTTTGGCCGCCTGACGGACGCGTGGCGTCACCAGTTCCCGGAGGCCTCAGAGATTCCTCGCTGGGGCGAGCTGTCTAGGGCGGGTGTTGCCATCTTTGATCGTGACTTTGATGCTATTCTCTGTGCCATGTATGCTGTGTCTCATAGTGATGAGGGTGACTGCTACCGCTGTTTCCCGCCCGATCCGGGCATTGAGGCTGCTGCCCTAGGTGCTTGCGACGCTGCTGCTCTAGGTGCGAGTGTGTCTGCGTCCTCAGGTACTGGTGAGTCTGCGCTCTCAGGTACTACGTCGGCTTCGGCCTCCCTCACCTTCACTCTTGACTCTGGGGCGTCTCGCTCCTTCTTTCGGGACCGCACCACACTCACGCCGCTTAGTCGGCCGGTTGCGGTGTCTCTGGCTGACCCCTCCGGGGGTCCTGTACTGTCTCGCTTCTCCACAGTCCTTCCGTGTCCGGCGGCTCCCTCTGGCACCCTGTCTGGTCTCTACCTCCCCTCGTTCTCGACGAACTCGGTGAGTGGTGCTGACCTACAGGATGGGGGAGTACACCAGTTCACTCCTGCGCGTCAGCGGGTGACGCACTGTACAGAGGCTAGCACAGGCTGGCACCTGGCTACGTTTACCCGTCAGCCGGGGTCGAGCCTGTACACACTGACCATTGCGTCTCCTCCCATTACTGAGTCTGGTAGAGTCGCTTTGTCCGGTCAGGTGTTTGCTGCAGCGTCCAGGTCTGGTCCTGAGTCTGCCCCCTGTTCGTGTCATCTCTTGTCTCACGAGACTCTCCTCTGGCACCACCGTCTTGGTCACCCCTCTCTGCTTCGGCTCAGAGGCATGGCCTCCCGTCTTCTTGAGTCTGGTCTCCCCCAGTCCCTCCCTCCCCTTCCTCAGGGCCCTGGCCCTGCCTGTGTCCCCTGTCTTGAGGGGTGCCAGCGGGCTGCCCCTCACTCCTCCCAGTTTCCTCCGACAGAAGCCCCGTTGCAGACGCTTCACATAAACGTGTGGGGCCCGGCCCGCGTCCGTGGACAGGGTCACGAGCGCTACTTCATGCTCGTTGTTGACGACTACTCGCGTTACACCACGGTCTTCCCCTTGCGCAGCAAGGCTGATGTCACTGAGGTGCTGATCGACTGGATCCGCGCGGCTCGTCTCCAGCTCAGGCGGAGCTTTGGCTCGGACTTCCCTGTTCTGCGTCTGCACTCGGACAGAGGCGGAGAGTTTTCCTCTGGCCTACTGCGAGCCTACTGTCGCCCACGAGGCATCCGTCAGACCTTCACGCTTCCGGACTCACCGCAGCAAAATGGGATTGCTGAGCGCCGCATTGGCATGGTCATGGACGTCGCTCGTACGTCTATGATGCATGCGGCTGCCCCCCATTTTCTGTGGCCGTTTGCGGTCAGGTACGCGGCGCATCAGATCAACCTCCACCCTAGGGTCTCCAGGCCGGAGACCTCCCCAGCCTTACTGTGGACGGGGAAGGTTGGCGATGTGTCGGCGTTCCGGGTCTGGGGATCTCGGGCGTTTGTCCGCGACTTGTCTGCGGACAAGCTGTCCCCTCGTGCTGCTCCTTGCGTCTTCCTGGGGTTCCCCCCTGACGCACCTGGGTGGCAGTTCTACCACCCCACCTCTCGACGTATTCTGTCCTCCCAGGACGTCACGTTTGACGAGTCGGTCCCCTACTACCGCCTCTTCCCCTACCGCACTCCGTCCCTCCCCCCACCCCCGCTCTTCCTTGTACCAGGTCCCCCCCAGGTAGACTCCCTCCCCCCTCAAGGTGTGTCCCAGATAGACGCAGTCGAGCCTGTCGAGGTCACTGGTGACTCTGGTGCTGCTGGGGGTGCTGAGCCTGGGGGTGCTGGACCTAGGGGTGCGGAGTTTGGGGGTGCTAAGCCTGGGGGTACTAAGCCTGGGGGTGCTGAGCCTGGGGGTGCTGAGCTTGGGGGTGCTACGCCTGGGGGTGCTGAGCCTGGAGGTGCTACGCCTGGGGGTGCTGAGCCTGGAGGTGCTACGCCTGGGGGTGCTGAGAGTGGAGGTGCTCCGCCTGGAGGTTCTCAGGGTGCTTCTTCTCGCCGGGAGCCACTCTCTCCACAGGAGTTGCGCGAGTGGTTTGCCCGACGCTGGCGCCGTACTGCTGGTGCTGGAGGTTCTTCGGCTGCTGAGGGTGCTGCGGTCGCGGTTCTCGGAGGTGCTCGTACTGGGAGTAGTGGAGCTGTTGGGCCTACGGGTTCGACTGGAGCTGGTGCTGCTGAGGGAGTTGGCGCTGAGACTACCGCTGGCGGTCCTACTGGGGGTGCTCCTGGTGCTGCTGGAGGTGCTGCTGGAGCGGGTGCTCCTGCTGAGGGTACTAGTACTGTCCCTGTTGCTTCTGGCGTCGTCACGCGGCCTTGACCGTACTTTGTTCCACTCCTGCAGCAGGTTCTTGGTCTTCCTCCTCCTACTGGTCCTCCTCCTCCCTTAGAGTGTCCACAGCCTGTCTCGTCACAGTCACAGCTACAGCCTGCCTCCCCTCTGCCTGCTCCTTCTCCCTACGCTGGTCCTACTGGAGGTCTTACTGAGCGTCGTGAGCCTGCGTCTCGTCCTGCGTCGCCTGTTAGAGCTGCTCGCGCTAGTGGTCGCGGTTCGCGCCAGCGTCCTCCTCCTGTCCCTCGCACGCACCGGATGTCTCTGCGTCTGTCTACTGCTCCTCTGCGTGCCCCTTTGCCTTCCCCTCCTGAGTCCTCTCTTCCTGCACTTGCCGACCCTGAGTCGGACTCTCTTCGTGCTGCCAGTCCTACTGTCACGCGTCTCCTTGCTACTGCGGTCACTGACCCTTCTTTTGAGTCTACTGCTGCGTCTGCTCTCGTTACTGAGCTCGTCGACTTTGCTGCTCGCTGTCGCTTAGACTACGCTGCTAGTCTTGTCGCTGAGTCTGAGTCTGTCTGTCCTCCGTCCGTCGGGGGTGAGTGTGCCCTTGGCACGGACGTCCTTGAGGATAGGCAGGAGGAGTTCCAGTGTCTGGCAGCTGCTTCACCTCTTCTCGTGTCCGTACTGCTTACCCCTCAGGGAGACCCGGATGCACTTGACATCCCGACTCCGCGCTCTTACGCGGAGGCGATAGAGGGTCCCTACTCCTCTCAGTGGCAGGCAGCTATGGATGCAGAGATGGCTTCCTGGAACTCCACAGGCACCTACGTTGACGCTGTCGCCCCTCGTGGGGCGAACATCGTCAGTGGCATGTGGATCTTCAGGGTGAAGCGGCCGCCGGGTTCTCCGCCTGTCTTCAAGGCGCGTTACGTGGCTCGTGGCTTCAGTCTGCGGCAGGGATTTGACTACTTTCAGACCTTCTCCCCCACCCCGAAGATGACCACTCTTCGGGTATTGCTGCACATTGCTGCTCACCGTGACTACGAGCTCCACTCTCTCGACTTCAGCACAGCTTTCTTGCAGGGCAGCCTGCACGAGGAGATCTGGCTGCGCCGCCCACCTGGCTTCACTGGGTCTTTCCCTCCTGGTACCCAGTGGAGTCTCCGGCGTCCAGTCTACGGTCTTCGCCAGGCGCCACGTGAGTGGCACGACACACTGAGGACTACGCTTGCGGCTCTTGGGTTTGCTCCTTCTACTGCCGACCCGTCGCTGTTTCTGCGCACCGACACCTCTCTGCCGCCGTTCTACATCCTCGTGTACGTCGACGACTTGGTCTTTGCCACAGCTGACACTGCTGGACTCGCCTACGTGAAGTCCGAGCTGCAGAAGCGACACACGTGCACAGACCTGGGTGAACTGCGCAGCTACCTTGGCTTGCAGATCACCCGGGACAGAGCACGCCGCACCATTACCCTGATTCAGTCACACATGGTGCAGCAGGTCCTTCAGCGCTTCGGCTTCACGTACTCCTCGCCTCAGGCCACTCCTCTGTCTACTCGCCACTCACTCTCAGCTCTGCCTTCGGATGAGTCCGTAGAGTCGAGTGGCCCGTATCCAGAGCTTGTTGGCTGCCTCATGTACCTGATGACCTGCACACGACCTGACCTTGCATACCCTCTTAGCATTCTTGCACGCTATGTTGCTCCTGGGAGACACCGACCAGAGCACATGGCTGCAGCGAAGAGGGTGTTGGGCTACTTGTGCAGTACGTCGGGCATGGGGCTAGTGCTTGGAGGGCGGAGTCCAGTGGTCCTCACTGGGCACGCGGACGCTTCTTGGGCTGGCGACCAGGCTACGCAGCGGTCGTCACAGGGTTACACCTTGTGTCTTGGTTCCGGCTCTGTTTCGTGGCGGGCTACCCGCTCATCTTCTGTTCTCGGCTCCAGTTGTGAGGCTGAGATCTACGCCGGGGCTATGGCTGCCCAGGAGCTTCGCTGGCTCACCTACCTACTGACCGACCTTGGAGAGCCACCTCGTTCTCCTCCAGTCCTGTACGTAGACAACAAGGCCATGCTGGCCTTGTGTCGAGAGCAGAGACTGGAGCACAGGACAAAGCACATTGCTCTCCGTTACTTTCTTGCTCGTGAAATACAGCAGCGTGGACAGTTGCGACTTGCGTACGTGGCCTCTGAGGCCAACACTGCTGATGTTTTCACCGAGGCACTTGCGCCTTGTGATCATCAGCGCTTCTGCACTCAGCTGGGTCTTGTGCCTGTCTTGCCTCACTTGCTCACTTCTTGACCTTGCTTGTACTGTCACATATATATACTCCTGCTCTTGCTTGCTTAGCCTTGTATATATATATGTGCTCTTGCATGTGAACTGGCCTTTTGGCCTTTGAACTTGTGCTCGGAATGTGTGGTGACTTTGTGATCCACCCTGAGCTTTGCTTTGCTTTGCTTCACTGGTCTTGTGACCCCTTGTTCTCCCCCACTTTGCCTATGGGGGTGTGTCAGAACATTATAGTTCATGCTATTGTGTAGGCTATAGTGGGGTATTCCATAGGGGGTACAACCCAACTAGGGTTTTATATTTGTACTCGTTTCATTCATAGTTCACATCATTCTCTCGTTCTCATTCTCACATCACGAGCAAGGAAGTAGCGAAGAGCAATGTGCTTCGTTCTGTGCTCCAGTCTCTGCTCCCAACACAAGGCCAGCATGGCCTTGTTGTCTACGTACAGCACTGGAGGAGAACGAGGCGGCTCTCCGAGGTCACTCAGCAGGTGGGTGAGCCAGCAAAGCTCCTGTGCAGCCATGGCTCCTGCGTAGATCTCAGCCTCACAACTGGAGCTGAGAACAGAAGACGAGCGAGTAGCCCGCCACGAGAATGAGCCGGAACCAAGGCTGAAGGTGTAACCCTGTGACGATCGCTGCGTAGCCTGGTCGTCAGCCCAAGAAGCGTCTGCATGCCCAGTGAGGACCACTGGACTCTGCCCTCCAAGCACAAGCCCCATGCCCGACGTACTGCACAAGTAGCGCAACACCCTCTTTGCTGCAGCCATGTGCTCCGGTCTGTGTCTCCCAAGAGCAACATAGCGTGCAAGAATGCTAAGAGGGTATGCAAGGTCAGGTCGTGTGCAGGTCATCAGGTCTGAGAGCGAGTGGCGAGTAGGCAGAGGAGTGGCCTGAGGCGAGGAGTACGTGAAGCCGAAGCGCTAAAGGACCTGCTGCACCATGTGTGAGGGTAATGGTGCAGCGTGCTCTGTCCCGGGTGATCTGCAAGCCAAGGTAGCTGCGCAGTTCACCCAGGTCTGTGCACGTGTGTCTCTTCTGCAGCTCGGACTTCACGTGGGCGAGTCCAGAAGTGTCAGCTGTGGCAAAGACCAAGTCGTCGACGTACACGAGGATGTAGAACGGCGGCAAAGAAGTGTCGGTGCGCAGAAACAGCGACGGGTCGGCAGTAGAGGGAGCAAACCCAAGAGCCGCAAGTGTAGTCCTCAGTGTGTCGTGCCACTCACGCGGTGCCTGGTGGAGACCGTAGACTTGCCGCTGGAGGCTCCACTGGGTACCAAGAGGGAACGACCTAGTGAAGCCAGGTGGGCGGCGCAGCCAGATCTCCTCGTGCAGGCTGCCCTGCGAGAAACCTGTGCTGAAGTTAAGAGAGTGAAGCTCGTAGTCGCGCTGAGCGGCTATGTGCAGCAGCACCCGAAGAGTGGTCATCTTCGGGGTGGGAGAGAAGGTCTGAAAGTAGTCAACTCCTTGCCGCTGTCTGAAGCCTCGAGCCACGTAACGCGCCTTGAAGACAGGCGGAGAACCCGGCGGCCGCTTCACCCTGAAAATCCACATGCCACTGACGATGTTCGTCCCAGGCGGGGGAACCTTGTCAACGTAGGTGCCTGTGGACTTCCAGGAAGCCATCTCTGTGTCCATAGCTGCCTGCCACTGAGAGGAGTAGGGACCCTCTATCGCCTGCGCGTAAGAGCGCGGAGTCGGGATGTCAAGTGCATCCGGGTCTCCCTCAGGGGTAAGCAGTACGGACACGAGATGAGGTGAAGTAGCAGCCAAACACTGGAACTCCTCCTGCCTGTCCTCAAGGACGTCCGTGCTAAGGGCACACTCACCCCCGACGGACGGAGGATAGACAGACTCAGACTCAGCGACAAGACTAGCAGCGTAGTCTAGACGACAGCGAGCAGCAAAGTCGACGAGCTCAGCAACTAGGGCAGACGCAGCAGTGGACTCAAAGGAAGGGTCAGTGACGACAGTAGCAAGGAGACGCGTAACATTAGGACTGGCAGCACGAAGAGAGTCCGACTCCGAATCGGTAAGAGCAGGAAGAGAGGACTCAGGAGGAGAAGGCAAAGGGGCACGCAGAGGAGCAGTGGACGGACGCAAAGACATCCGGTGCGTGCCAGGGACAGGAGGAGGACGCTGACGCGAACCACGACCACTAGTGCGAGCAGGATGGACAGGCGACGCAGGGCGAGACGCAGGCTCACGACGCTCGGCAAGACCTCCTGTAGGACCAGTGTAGGGAGAAGGAGCAGGCAGTGGGGAGGCCGGCTGTAACTGTAACTGTGACGGGACAGGCTGTGGACACTCTAAGGGAGGAGGAGGACCAGTAGAAGGCGGGAGACCAAGAACCTGCTGAAGGAGCGGAACGAAGTACGGCCGAGGCCGCGCGGCGACTCCAGACACAGCAGGGACAGCACCAGTACCCCCAGCGGAAGCACCAGCGCCAGCAGCACCTCCAGCTCCAGTACCTCCAGCAGCACAAGTAGCACCCCCAGCAGGACCGCCTCCAGGACCGACAGCAGTAGCCTCAGCGCCAACACCCTCAGCAGCTCCAGCTCCAGTCGTATCCGCAGGCCCAGCAGCTCCAGTACTCCGAGTACGAGCACCTCCAGGACCCGCGGCACCAGCACCCTCAGCAGCCGAAGAACCTCCAGCTCCAGCAGCACGCCTCCAGCGCCGGGCAAACCACTCGCGCAGCTCCTGTGGAGAGAGTGGCTCCCGCCGAGATGAAGCACCCGGAGAACCTCCAGGCCCAGCACCGTCAGACGCCACACGAGCTGGCCCAGCTCCCTCAGGCTCCGCACCCCCAGGCTCAGTACCTCAAAGGCGTAGCACCCCAAGGCTCAGCACCCCCAGGCGTAGCACCCCCAGGCTCAGTACCCCCAGGCTCAGCACCCCCAGTGGTAGCACGCCCAGGCTCAGCACCCCCAGGCTCAGCACCCCCAGTAGTAGCACCCTCAGGCTCAGCACACCCAGGCGTAGCACCCACACGCTCAGCACCCCCAGAGTCAGCACCCCCAGGCTCAGCACCCTCAGCAGCACCAGAGTCACCAGTAACCTCGACAGGCTTGACTGCGTCTACCTGGGACACACCTGAAGGGGCAGGACCCTGAGGGGGGAGGGGGTCTACCGGGGGGGGACCTGGCACAAGGAAGAGCGGTGGCGGGGGGAGGGACGGAGTGCGGTAGGGGAAGAGGCGGTAGTAGGGGACCGACTCGTCAAACGTGACGTCCTGGGAGGACAGAACACGGCGAGAGGTGGGGTGGTAAAACTGCCACCTTGGCGCGTCAGGGGGGAAGCCAAGGAAGACGCAAGGAGCAGCACGAGGGGCAGCTTGTGCGGAGACAAGTCGCGGACAAACGCCCGAGATCCCCAGACACGGAACGCAGACGCATCGCCAACTTTCCCCGTCCACAGCAAAGCTGGGGAGGTCTCCGGCCTGGAGATCCTGGGGTGAAGGTTGATCTGATGCGCCGCGTACCGAACCGCAAACGACCACAAAAAATGGGGGGCAGCCGCATGCATCATGGACGTACGGGCGACGTCCATGACCATGCCAATGCGGCGCTCAGCAATCCCATTTTGCTGTGGAGAGTCCGGAAGTGTGAAGGTCTGGCGGATGCCTCGTGCACGACAGTAGGTCGCAGAAGGCCAGAGGAGAACTCTCCGCCTCTGTTAGAGTGCAGACGCAGAACAGGAAAGTCCGAGCCGAAGCTCTGCCTGAGCTGGAGACGAGCTGCGCGGATCCAGTCGATCAACACCTCAATGATATCACCCTTGCTGCGCAAGGGGAAGACTGTGGTGTAACGCGAGTTGTCGTCAACCACCAGCAGGAAGTAGCGCTCGTGACCCTGTCCACGGACGCGGGCTGGGCCCCACACGTCCATGTGAAGCGTCTGCAGCGGGGCCTCTGTCACAGGAAACTGGGAGGAGTGAGGGGCAGCCCGCTGCCGCCCCTGGACACAGGGGACGCAGGTAGGGCCAGGCCCCGAAGGAAGGGGAGGGAGGGACCGGGGAAGACCAGAGACAAGGACACGAGAGGCCATGCCTCGGAGACGAAGCAGGGAGGGGTGACCAAGACGGTGGTGCCAGAGGAGAGTCTCGTGAGACAGGAGGCGACACGAGCAGGGGGCAGACTCAGGACCAGACCTGGACGCTGCAGCAAACACCTGACCCGACGCAGCTACATGACCAGACGCAGTGACTGCAGGAGACGCAGTGGTCAGTGTGTACAGGCTCGACCCCGGCCGACGTGTAAACGTGGCCAGGTGTCGGCCTGTCCGAGCGTCCGTGCAGTGGGTCACCCGCTGACTCGCAGGAGTGAACTGGTGAGTCCCCGCATCCTGTAGGTCAGCACCACTCACCAAGTTCGTAGAGAACGAGGGGAGGTAAAGGCCAGACAGGGTGCAAGAGGGGGCCGCCGGACACGGGAGGACAGTGGAGAAGTGAGCAAGGACAGGACCCCCAGAGGGGTCTGCCAGAGAGACTCCAACTGGCCGGCCAAGCGGCGTGAGTATGGTGCGGTCTCGAAAGAAGGAGCGAGAAGCCCCCGAGTCAAGGGTGAAGGTGTGGGAGGCCAAAGCCAACGCAGTACCTCAGAGAGCAGACTCACCAGCACCTGAGGGAGCAGACGCACGAGCACCTAGAGCAGCAGCCTCGCTAGCACCTAGAGCAGCAGCCTCACCAGTACCTAGAGCAGCAGTCTCAATGCCCGGGTCGGGCGGAAAACACCGGTAACAGTCACCCTCATCACTAATAGTCACAGCATACATAGCAGCAAGAATAGCATCAAAGTCAAGGTCAAAGACAGCTACTCCCGCCCTAGACAGCTCGCCCCAGCGGGGGATCTCAGCGGCCTCCGGGAACTGGTGACGCCAAGCGTCCGTCAGGTGGCCAAAGCAACGCTAGGTGGAGTGCGCACCCCCGCACTGCTCACCCGCGCGGTCGCCGGTGCGTAGGACGTAGGTGCACGGACCAGTACCCCCACCCCGCTGGCGTGCAGCG